CCGGCCCCCCCCGCGTCGCCCCCCCCCCCCTCGACCCCGGCACCCCCTGATGCCGAATGTCGCCCGTCGTTCTGCCCGCCAACGACGTGATACCGCCCCCTCCCCTCGAACCGGTACGGCCCACCGCAGAACCAATCCGAGCAGCACAGCCACCTCCTCCACGCGCGCCGCGCGCCGCTCGATAGCCGGCCTCCTCCCCCGCCGCCGCCGGCATCACTGCCGCCGCCACCACTGCTTTCGTTTGCGTCAAACGATGAGCTCCGCGCCGCCGCCCGCGGGTGCGGGGACTCTCTGCTGCTGTGCCCCCCCCCCCCGCTCCCTTCCGTCCTGCCGCCTGCCCGGATGCTGAAGCGGCGGCGGAAGCGGTACAAGGCCGCGGACCGCATCCTGGCGAACAGCCCGGTGCCGTGCCGGCTGACCCTCCCGCCACCGCCACCACCGTCACTGCTGATAGTACCACTGCTACTACTGCTGCTGCCGCCGCTGGTGCTACCGTTTCCGCTACTGTCGCGATCGGGCACGGAGACGACGGCCAGGACGGCCTTGACCGTCACGCTCAGGAGGCGGGCCCAGATGTCCACCACGATCGTGGTGCGGATCACGGCGGAGACGGTGCCGAGGGCCGGCGGCTTCGGAGCCACCAAGAGCAGCCTTCGAAGCAGCCCCTCTTTGGTCGTGTGGAGGAGTTCGTCGTCGCCGTTACCGGTCGATATTGTGTGGATTTCGTGAGGTCGGGTCGGGTGGCGTGGGGTCGGCCAGAGACAGAGAGGTCGAAGGTTGCGGGGGAAAAGGGGGGCCGGTTGAAATCGGGCAAGGAAATGCACGTTCAGGGTCTCGTGTGGTACATACCGGCGCGTACCCTTCGCCCACGCATCAAAAGGCAGTGGTCAAGCGCGCTAGTTTTGCCTCACCAGCTGCAAACGCAAAAAGAACGGCCGCGTGTCGAGTCTTCCTCTTCCCAATCAATTTGTTCAGGCGAGCCACAGAAAACACACAAGGGGTGGCACTTGACCAAAAAATGATTGTTAATGCATAGAACAAGGGAGACGGCGAATCGGCTGCTGTACCTCCTTGTGGAAAGTTGCTGAGGACCATCGCCGACAGGGCAACAACGACCACTGCTGTCACTGCCACGCCCAAAAGCACAAACCTATTCCTTAGGGTCTGTACGGATGAGCAGGGGGTGGGGGAGGTGGGGAAGCGTCACGTTCGGGGGTTAGATATATTCTAGGCCCGCAATTGTTGTTTGTCTCAATCTTAATCATTGAAACGTGGAATAAGTACCAGCCTGCAGCCGGGAAACTCGCCCTGCGCACGAGGAGAGGAAAGCAGTGCCAACAGCAGTGTCGGCGGAGATTTCGCGAGTTTCAAACCGGTTCAGAAACGCTTCTCTGACTGCGGGGTAACGACAAGAGAGAGGGTAATATCATGCTCTAGAACCCGAGACGGACCATCAGGATTAGAACGCGTACCTGTGCGCCAGCGTGGGACCAGAGTCGTTGGTCCAACACCACAACGATGGCTGTGCCCATGCTGAAAGCAGCGATGCCCACGAGGTGTGTCACGATGTAGTGACACATGAGCAGCACTAACAGGGCGATCGTGATGCGAGCGCCGACGAGAGCTCTCAACAGTTCCTCCGGCGGGTTACCTTCCACCCCTGATTCCAGCGGAACTAGAGCAGAGCAAAGCGCAGGGAGCCGCCAGCACAAGAAACGTTGGAATTGTCACTAGGCACCGCCATCCCATAACGAGAACCAGGGACAGGTATGGAAAGGAAGGCACAGGCGTGAGTGGTCAGGCTATGATACGACAATATTCTCTCACCACCGGGAGAAGAATCCTCATCACTGCTGTCCGAAGAGCCCGAGCCACTCGGCTCTCCCACGCCGCCGCCGCCGCCGCCGCCGCTGTTGTTGCTCAGCCCGGTTAAGCTCGCTTCAGCCCCTCCATTCAAGCCCAAACTCAAGCCCGAAGGCAAGCCCACCGTCAATAGTCCATTGCTGCCGCCCCCGCCCTCATGTACGGCCTCGAGATGATCCCCACCCCTGTCCCCGTCTTGCGCACCCCCCCCTCCGGAGTTCCTATTCCTTCTGCTGGCTCTTGTGCCGCCAACGCGATCTCCTCTTGCTACTCCGCCTTGCGGGACGCCACGATGCGCAGAAGCTTCACTGCTGTTGCTATTGAATCCATCCCGAAACCCACGCTGGACTTGGCCCACAACACCGCTGCCGCCACCACCCATTGAGGCAGGGCTTGCGGCGGCGACGGCGGCCTGTCGCCACTCGTCCTGTGACGTCACCGGCCCCCATGTGGACACTAGTCGCGCGAGCGTAGCACCGTTAGCCTCGGAGTTCGGGGTGCGAGGAATGCCGCCGGCGCCACCAGTTGGTCCAGCGGCAGAAGAAGAAGAAGCAGAACTTGTTCTGCCACCACTTGGAACCTGCTGCGGAGGCTGCTGCTGTTCCTGGGCGCCGCTCGCGTGGGGCAAGCAGGCCGCCGCGGCCCTTTCGCTCGGTGATGGCACTGCTGCTGTTGCTGCTGCCGCCGCTGTTGTAGGGAGGTCAGGTTGAGCTGCCAGGAGAGGGCCGGTGTTGTCGTGGTTGACTTCATCTACCTCCGTGTCGGTATCCCTGTGTCGTGTTGTTGAACGGGGGAGCAGACCTTAGGGGCGGGGGGGG